ACCCTGGAGATTGTAAATGCATTTTTGAAGATTATGCTAATACCGTCAGATTACAAGAGTTTACTGTACTAACACCGAAACAAAACAGTCTCGCGGCTGTTTCTTATGATAATTGGTATTCGTATTTTTAATATGAAGTTAGAATGCCTATTTTCCGGCATTAGCAGCAGCTGCGAAGGGGAAACCAGCCATTCCCTTCTCACCTACTCCATTTTCTAACGTTCTGAACTTTGAAAGTTGTAATTGTCACAAGACAGTTAATTAACTCCGCTTCAATGCCGAGCAGTTAGTTAAAGTGTGACAAAGAATCAAATGTGCCAGAGCACGCATACTTTAAGGTATTCGGAAACCTATACATGCCATCTAGTGGGCACAAGAGAAAACGATATGCCAGCTTCCTCAAGCTCCCCTGATATCATTCTATATTCCCTTGCAGGCGCTCACGCCGTTAGTATTTTACCTAAGGGGAAGCTAAATACCTGCTTAAGAGGGTACATTCTTAGCATATCTTGCCAATGTCGACACAGTTTTTATTTCATTCTAGGATCTAAAACAAATTGGAAGAAGCCCCGGTTCATAGTTTTGTCCATAGGATAGCAGGAGAGCAGAAAGGCAGAAGGGATCTGTCATTAGAGATAGATACAGATAGAGATAGAAATTTAGGAAGTTACACTCAGTATTTATTTATAGATAAATTTACAGTCAGGGTGTGTATGAATGCTATGCAGTATAAATACAATGTCACAGAACCACTGGATACTGTAACTTCCTGTAATAGCACTTACAATAGTTAGAAAAAGAAAACAAAACAAAACAAAACAAAACACAGCCCTAGTGTAACAATGTTACACCATTCTCAGGGCAGGGCTGCAGAAGGAAACTGATTATTGGTCATTTAGATACAGTCATAAATAGAATATTAAAAAGCCATCAATTCTGAAAGCTTATAACTAACTTCAGCCATGTCAGTAATCCCATCAATTCCTTCCCCCCAAAAGTGTGACTTCAGATAATTGCAAATAATGGTGTCGCAGGTATAGTTTCCCATAACTATCCTGAATATTACTAACAGTGAAGTGCTTGCATGGAGAATATATCCCCCACTTTTTTTTATTGTTATACCCCAGGAGGCAAAATACTGTTCTTTGGAATAATACTATAAAGTTTCCAAATAATTTTATATCAAGAGGGACTATTGTGGAAGCAATTCTTCAAATAAAAACAACTATGAATAATATTTAGACATACTAAGTTGATATTGTTGTTTCATCCAAGGAAGTCAATATAAACTTAAGGTGTATTTTATACAGCTGTGTGAACAATAAAATCTACAATACTAAATCAAAATATAGATTTCAAGTTGCAAAATAACACACAACTGTACACTTACTCTTATTTCAAACATTTTGGTATTTCATTTTTTTGAAATGCTGGTAATGTCATCTGCCACAGACTATGTATTGTTTAGCCAATCTAAGGACTAGCAGCTTTGTGTACATTTGAGAAGGTAGTGTTCTAAGAATCATTTGGTCCTTACAGAAAACTAAAATACCTTATGTTAACACACAAAAGTAATCCAACAAGTTTACAGGTATGCCAGATATCTAGTGGATTAGTCTTTTTTAAAGATAAATACTAGTTTGTTCAGTGTGAATTGAACTGAAATGATTCAGACTGAAATGCTTTAGCTAATTTCCTTCTTCCCCCTATTGTCCTACTCAGCACTTGTTGCTTTTCAAACCTCCCAGGATCTACAGCTCCTAAAATTTGGGCTGGGAACTATGGAATAGGTATCAAGAGGACAAAATAATTGAAACAGAAAATAAAACAAAACTGCAGTAACATAGAAGCATGGCAAACTTGAAACATTGTAGAAGAGAAAATATCAGTCATAGTATGCATACACGGAACTATTTGTGCTTAAACTGGTTCCATCTCACTGGCTAAATTAGGTATGGTTCCTTATGAAATACAAACATGCCTAAGAAAATTACTGTGTTGACAGTGGAGCATGATCTACACTACAAAAATCAAACTGACAAAAGACCCAACATTTTCTGTAAAAGATTTTGGGTGAGCATACAAAAATGATGCAAGTGGTCTGATAACCCGTTAAAGCAGACTATCATTCAATCAGAGCTTAATTGGTTTATTGCAACTATTTTAATGCCAGTGTGGATGCAACAAGTTGAAACTGTTAAGTTTGTCTTCTGCAGCACTGTCTCACAGTGCATTATGAAGTTTCTCAGAATGCACTGCTTCTGGGACATGATCTGGGAACTGTGGGACACGCTTTACAAGTTAAATAGTTTTGGACAATACTAGCGTGGATGTGCTACAAAACAGACTAACTCAACATAAAGGTGTAGATGCACTAACTGATTGTAATTAAACTGTTTTCAGTGCAACCTGTTCAATTACAAAGAGTTCAGTTATTCAGTACGGATCAGGCCTGAGTGTCAGCAATGGTCTTCACTGGGACTGAATGTTAATTAACTGCAAACATAGTCTAGGAAAAGTGTTCTTTGGAATAATACTATAAAGTATCCAAATAATTTTATATCAAGAGGGACTATTGTGGAAGCAATTCTTCAAATAAAAACAACTATGAATAATATTTAGACATACTAAGTTGATATTGTTGTTTCATCCAAGGAAGTCAATATAAACTTAAGGTGTATTTTATACAGCTGTGTGCAGTACATAGTAGCTGAGTAGTATCCTTTTAATTAGCTTTGGAACCTTCTAGTGGACATACCATTTTCTTATTGCTGAAGCCACTGAATTCTGAAAGAGCAACTGTCTATAATGGCGATGTCTACACTGAATGCTTACTTCAGCACCGTGTAGTGCAAATACTTGTTTAGCCTCTTTAGTGTGGCATACAGAGCATGAAAGACAATGTGGCTTCACTTAGTCAAGTAGAGTGAAGACATGCTTGAAGGGTCTGGGTATGTACATGAGTGTATAACCTACAAAGCTCTCTCATTGCCCAAGATATGTCTCCTATCTACACAGCTATTTTTACTTGTGTGGTGTTCTATTGCCTTTCGGTAGGAAAAGACTCTGACTGCAGGCAAAGGTTCTAAAAGGGTGGAGGTAGCAAAGAAAGCAGTGTGAAAAGGCTTAATCTTTTCCTGCTGCATCTCCCTGCCAGAGCCTGGCCTTGCTACAGTGCAAGGCTCTGCCAGCTCCCCATCTTTTCCCACAAGGTTCAGAAAAGTCAACAAAAATGATTAGGGGTTTGGAATGGGTCCCATATGAAGAGAGTTTAAAAAGACTTGGACTTTTCAGTTTAGAAAAGAGGAGACTAAGGGGGGATATGATAGAGGTCTATAAAATCATGACTGGTGTGGAAAAAGTGAATAAGGAAAAGTTATTTACTTATTCCCACAATACAAGCACTAGGGGTCACCAAATGAAATTAATAGGCAACTGGTTTAAAACAAACAATAGGAAGTTTTTCTTCACTCAGCACACAGTCAACTTGTGGAACTCCTTGCCAGAGAATGCAGTGAAAGCTAGAACTTTAACAGGGTTCAAAAAAGAGCTATCTAGATTTGTGGAGGTTAGGTCCGTCAATGGCTATTAGCCAGAATGGGTAGACTCTCCTTCCCTGGAGGTGGATGACAGGGGAGGGACCACATGAGGATTACCTGTTGTGATTCCTCCCTCTGGAGCATCTGGTATTGGCCACTGCCGGCATACAGGTGCTGGGCTAGATGGACCTTTGTTCTTATGTTCTTATGTTCACATCTAGGCTGCATCACACTACACTGTACAGTAGTTCGAAATAGGATACGCAATTTGAGCTATGCAAATTGCATATCTTATTTTGATCTTATTTGGAAATAACTAATTTCAAAATTTGGTGCTGTCTACACAGCACCAAATTTCAAAATAACCCGCTATTCTGAAATGTCCCTTACTTCTCGTGGAATGAGGTTTATAGGGTCATCGGAATAGTGAGCCTACAATAACAGGCTTGCTGTTAAGACATGGGATAGCTATTTTGGGATACTTTGGTATCCCGACATAGTGTTGCAATGTAGATATAGCCCTAGGGTCCTTTCCTAATGCAGGTAAGGTCTCTGGCAGGAAAAAAGACTCTGG